CGCACGCGCACACACACACTGAATGGCTCTTATTTTGTTGTCTGGATGGTGGCACCACAACCAGAAACAGGGAGTGTAAGTGTCGGAAGTTATTTAGGCGTGATACAGGAACTCTAAGAAAGAATATTCATCAACCCCTCTATTCCTCTGGAAGACTTAAGATGGATATTTTTTGTTTTTCAAGTTTAATAAACCAGGCTGCAGCCAATTTTGTCTAATCATGATGGTGGGAGATGGGCATGAAGGAGTGAATCACTGGTAATCCCTAAACCTCTCTTTAGGTGATGTTTCAAACCCTTCTCCCATCAAGTCTTCTCCAAGAAGCATTCACAGTACAATTAAATGACCATTTTGATTCTTCCTTTGCCAGTCACCTTCATTAAAGGTGCTTGTTAACAGTGGAATGATGAACAAGTCTGCTGCAAAACATGGAAAATAGGGCTCTAGGTGACATACGCTGATTAATAAGTTCTAGTGAGTTGACTTCTCTCACTTGGAGAAATTTTTGGAACTTGTGCTTCATTTTTCCATTTGGGTGAAGATAGAGTTTCTTTCTTCTCTTGGTGTTTAACTCTTCTGAATGAGAATAATGTTTGTCTCTACAGGTCTTGCCTGTTTAGTCACTGTAGAAGCTTAATGAGATCTCTGCTTGAAGCTGTACATAGCTGCTTTCTATAGTTTCGTTAGATGTTTCACTGATAAATTGCTTGGAAAGTGCATTAAGAAATGCTTGGAGAAATCATTTTTTTCTCCATCAGCTTCCTGTGGAATAATAATTGGGAGGAAGTCTTTGATGTGTAATTTTCTGATCTGGCTTATATAGCAGCATCTAATAATAACTGGATATTATTAAATTAGTTTTCTTAGCTAATTTTCAAAGTTCTTTTATATGTCCTCGTATTCCTCATAACATTTTGAGATATTCAGGGCTGATGTTATTTTCTCATTTGGGGCTAGGAAATTGAGGCTCTGAGAGGTTAAGAAACTCTCCCAGGGTTGTATGGTTAGTATTGATGATGAGAAAGATTCCTCATCATAGTTGATTTGGTGGATTGAAGGGAACACACAGTCTGATAGACCTGGACTTGAATCCTAAGTCTGTCTTCTAATTAGTTGAGTGATCTTTCACATCCCACTTAACTTCCCTGGGCCTGTTCCTTTATCTATAAAATATGGAACATTGTATGCAGAAGGCTCTTCTTAAGACTAGTAGAAGTTATGCCTATCAAACACCTGGCACAGTGCCCAGTCATTAATATATATGCAAGTATTCATTACCACCCCATTCTTTTTTTTTTGGTGAGGAAGATCAGCCCTG